CCCCAAAACCCCAAAACCCCAAAACCCCAAAACCCCAAAACCCCATTTAAAAATAAAATTTTTGATAATAGATCTTATTTTTAGCAATACAAAATGTCAAAGAAGTGCTCAAACTGTGAAAGAAGGATGAAGGACAAAGAAAAAGAAGTTATTGTGTGTAAAAACTGTGGAGAATTTGCTATCTGTCATCTTTGTTCCAGAAACTTATCAGAATATGTCAGAGGCCCTGGTCTCTGTCCTTTCTGAGAAAGTTACCCAAGAAAGAGCAACTATGAGAAGAGTTCATCGAAATATAATTGATGATACCGTACAAGGAGTAAAAACCACTCTGACACTAATGCGAGGCCAAGGCAGCGCAAACATACAAATGTCAGAGATATAAAATCACTCAGAGTATTGCAAAAATAACTTAGTATATGTCATTGGACTATCTCCTGAATTAGTCTTAGGAAAACATGATAGCGAGATTTTAAAATAGCTCAGAGTATTTCGGACAATATGGTACGCTAAAGAAAGTAGTCGTCAATAAAAATTACGTTTACAAACCAAAAGGATCCACAAGTCCAAGTTATGGAGCGTACGTAACATACTCGTCTTCAAAAGAAGCGGCACTTGCAATATTGGGAATTGAGCAGCATGAAATGGATAACCGGTTACTTCGGGCATCTTTTGGAACCACTAAATATTGATCATTCTTTCTCAAAGATCAGAAATGCTTGAATAAAGACTGCTTATATTTGCACAAATGGCATGATGAATCTGAGACATACACTAAAGAAGAAATGGCAAGCAAAAAGATCTTTTCTGACCAATTAGAAATAGCTCTCAGAGTGTCTGGCCTAAACTCCATGACTAAGGATGAATTTGTAGCTGAATATGAAAAGACTTATGGCAAATTGGTTACCAAAACCCAATTCCCCAACATTCTTCAGATCATAGAGAAATATTCTAAATATAATGCGAATAAAGATCAAAGTAGTGAGAAGAAAACTCCAAAGAAAGTATCTCAAAAAGCAAGCACAATTGATCCAGGCAGAAAGCTAAATCAGGCTCTCGAAGAAACCAAAAGTCCATATGACCAAACTTCATCAGAAAAGAAACCCAAAGCGGTGAATCAGCAAGAATTACAACAGAAAGCTCATCAGGAAATTGAAAATAAGATACATGAAGCTAATATCATCGCAATGAATCGGGAACTCAAGAGGGAAGAAATGGCAATGAGCAAGAGCAAGTCCAAGGTTCTTCATCCATATTCAAAACTTATGAAGTGAGAAACAATGAATCCCTACTTGCTCACCCAAATGCACCAGAATCCTCACATACAAATTGATCCAAGAAGAGAGGTTGAGAATAAGAGAGCTATTAGTAGTACTAGAGATAAGGGTCATCAAATGGTTGCATATTCTCCTTCAGACAGACAGTTAAATACTTTCGAGAATTATAACCTATTCGGATTGTCAGAAGATTCCACAATTTGTAAAACTCCGCAAACTGTAGTCGGACAAGAAAACTTCCCTTATATGATAAGTCCTTACTTTTTTAACAGAAACACGGAGTCTAGGTTTAACTTTGCAAGAAGTATGGATCCAAAAGAAGAGACGGTGTCACTCCAAATCCCAGTAAAAATTCAAGAGATTCTTGAGAAAAATATTAGAACAATGAGCAATAAAGCTCACAAAAATAGCGTTGAAGATACCTCAAGCACTGACATCATCGATTTTCATGAAGATTGGTCCTCTACAATGGACAAACTTAGATTTGAGGATGAAAGAATCCTATCTATGGCAAGCCGTAGATCATCTCCTCATCGCTTTGATAACAACAGGCATAACCTTAGCCCAAGATCAGAGCTTCATAAGAAACCAGGCTCACTTAGCAAGAGAGATGGTGGTGACTATATGTGGTCTACTAGTAACAAACTAGATTCTCGTTCAAGCATTTATAGCAATGCTGAATGAAATCGGAGCGAAGCAGTTGGATTCCAATACGACAGTGAAACAGCCTCAAACAACGAATACCTTCCTGACCACTTAAGATTCACTAATGAATTCAATCTCCACTCTCATAGGAGTAGAAAATAGTTATCCTCCTACGTGAGAGCCCAGTTCCCTCTCACATTTGTATTCTTTTTGATTGATTCTCTAATATAATTCAATCATTGTAAATGAATCGGGGTTTTGGGGTTTTGGGGTTTTGGGGTTTTGGGGTTTTGGGG